TGTTTGAAGGGATGCACAACATCCTGAAATATATGCAGATATATTAGTTAGCGACAAAACTATGATTGCCTTGCTGTAGTGATCCTAAATATGAAAAATGACTCATCTTACCCCAGTCTCCCCTACAGCAACTAAACAGCTTCATAAGCTTCTTTCTTCTATTTCCTCCTTTTATTTCCGCTGTGCAGCAAAGCCCCCATAGCTCCCATAAATAAACAGTCATCAACAGTACATCAGGATTAAAAACCCTCTCTAAAGTCCAGTTATGGTTTTAAAAACTTCCATACATTCGTTGAACAGGTTTTGTGACTTTATAACTCGTTTTAAGTTCTTAGGATGAGAGTTAGATTACAAATTCCACTTTAAACTACAGCTTTGACAGGCTGTAAATCACTCAGAAGTAGTGATTCAACCTAAAGATTAATAAGGGTTTAGTTTATCTGTCACTAACTCACTATATTCAAGTACAATGTAGAGATTTGTGTACACTGACAGGCCTGCACAGAGCTTTCAATCCTTGGCATTCATAATAATAAATTCTTACATTTCTATTCATACACACTCATCGTAACGCCCACCCCTGGCTTAGAGGCCATACAATATCCCCATCAAGTAACCTGGCTTTCCAGTTCTAGAGACATTAATTAAATCCTACAGTCGAGGTTGAGGGTGAGACCTGTCCACTGTGCTTAAAATAACACCAGCCAATTCAGCCTCATGCACACAGGTAAATTAATCTACTCTGACCAACACATGATGGAGATTAAAGCAATGAGGACATCTACTGGACAAATAGGAGCAGTAAGAAAGATCCATCAGTGTCTCTACAGCAGTGGTTCCCATGTGGATGTTGTCCAGGATTACAGATACCTTGGAGTACACCTGGATAACAAACTGGTCTGGGCCAAGAACACTGTGGCTGTTTACAAGAAGGGCCAGAGTCGACTCTATTTCTTGAGGAGGCTCCGGTCATTCAACGTATGTAACATCATGCTGAGGATGTTCTACCAGTCGGTGGTAGCCAGTGCCATCTTCTTTGCTGTTGTGTGCTGGGGCAGCAGGCTGAGGGCAGCAGACGCCAAGAAGATCAGCAGGATCACCAGGAAGGCTGGTTCCGTCCTGGGGGTCCAACTGGACTCTTTGGTGGTGGTGTCTGAGAGGAGGATGCTGTGTAAACTGCACAGTATCCTGGACAACAACGCTCACCCTCTCCACCAGGTGCTAACCTCGAGCCAAAGCACCTTCAGCAACAGATTCATCCCCCCCCCCGGTGTAACACAGAACTCCAGAGGAAGTCTTTTCCACCTGTGGCCATCAGACTATATAACTCATCTACCTCCGGTTGCGAAAGGGACAGTGGAGACACTGTGCCCTGAGCAAATGTCACTTTACCATTTTTTACCCAATTTTCACTTCATCACTTTATTTAGTTGTACTGTACCATAGTTCATTTATGCTGATAACAAATGCTGCTACAATTTTTATCACTTTTACCATTGTTACCACTTTATCCAATCGCTCCTTATCACTTACTTAGTTTGTACTTATTTTATTTCAATTTATGCTGCTAAACTGCACGGTGCGTATTGTTGTATATTGTAAATACTGTACCTACGTTTAACTGCAATTTTTGTTGCACTTTGTCACATTTAGTTACTTGTTTTCTTCTTTTCTACTTATGTTCCCTTTAAGTGCTTGCTTTTTGTTGCATTTAGTTAATTGTTTGATTTATTTTATGTAAGCCTTTATTTTTATTTTATTTTATTTTATTTTTTATTTTGTTTCGTTTTATTTTATTTTATTTTATGTTAGCTTATTTTTACTCTAACCCTGTAGTACTTTACTTTACCACCTTTGTATTGAAACTGTTGCACAGTCATTTCCCTCAGGATAAATAAAGCTTCTTGAATCTTGAATCTTAAATCACTTTTCCTTAAGGGACCCTTTTCTATTATTGACTAAACCTAAAAGTAAATTACATATTTTATGGATATTTCACATTATTTTGGGTGCATTACAACTGAAACTGTAAACAGTGAACACAATAACTGCAGAAAGTTTGTGTAAAACGAGCAATTTGGATGAATTTTGAGCAGATTATTTCCTGCCAATATTGATCTGAAATTAGTTTTCATGATATGTTTCTGTCTGTATTATGTTTGTATTTATTTTTTAACAATCATAAAGATTTAATAGGCTTTCCTTTTGATAAATTCAGTGTTTTCCTCCTTCTGACACTTGTTCTATTAACTCTTTGGTTGTTATAACTGCTTACTTTTTTAATATATTATATATTTTATTATATATTTGTAAAGTTTTCTTACACCCCTTTAAATCAATAAGGCCTCATGACCCCCCGTGAAGCTTTGGTGAGCCCTAGTCAGGGTCCCGAGCCCCGGGTTGGGAACCACTGCTCTACAGGATACAATATAATGACTTGTGTGAACCCTTGACTTCTTCTCTAGTGCCTCCGTGATGTAACATTTAACAGTCCCTCCAGTACAATTAACTCAACCAATTCCCTCTGATTACTGTGTTTCAACAATGTTATTGTTTACTATACAAGTTGCCTTCAGTATTTAATGAATTATAGATAAACTATTTTGAAATTTTCACATTCTCCCACAATAAGATAAGATGTTCCTTTATTGATCCCATCTTAGGAAACATTCAAAATTGACACAGCAGCATAGGGCAATGTAGTGCAAAAGAAAGACAGAAGTGGAGGTGCAAGATATCACAAAATAAAATATTACTTTACAATTTAATTGCAGAAAAAATCTGCTGCCATGTCTAAAAACCTTGCAACATGCATTGAAATATTTTAGAAAAGCTGCTGTGAAATCAGCCATTTTAGGCCGCAACAATGCCAAAAAAAAAAACCTGCAATTCTCATCAGCCTGAGCTGTAATTTTTGTTTAGCAAATGTTAACATGCTCACACACTAAATTAAGATGGTGCTAAACATCAGCATGTTGTTATTGTGAGCATGTTAGCATTCTGACGTTAGCTGTCAAAGAACTGCCTAGTTAAAGTTTGAGTGTGGCGCAAGACTCTCAAGTCTTATCAGTATTTCTCGTTTTTGCTTAATTCAGGAGAGTTTGGAGCCAGAACTTCAGTCAATGTCAATGTGGCCTGTTTGGTTTGATTCTGTTCGCTCTTCAAGAAACTCATGGGGAGAATGAAGCAGGGTTTTCATGGAAGCAGACACCTAAGAGAGATGTGTGAAATTACATTTTATGTGGCAGGGATATGATACATAAGCACTGACAGTTTTGACGTTAAAGTATCCAGGCTGTTAGAAATAAAGCTGATCCGTGTGTGAAGACTATGTCGGTGGTTGCTGCAGTAATAAGGAGGATGGATATCTCAGGGGTCAGTGAAGTGGCGCTTTAACGAGCACTGAGTAAAGTTCAGCAGGGATAATGAGGCAGCACCAAATAATATTCCTTCACAATAGCTAAATTATTCCATCAGATGAGGCAGATCTGCCCCTGGGGAGCAATACGTTAAGCTATATGCATTATTCCCCAACTTGGCGGGTGGTGGATGGTAGATCGGAGAGGTTCTTCCACTGACCAAGACGAATCTGGAGACTGAATGTATTAACTCACACACAGATTGTGAACTGAATGGGAAAAACACATATTCTTTGTATTTCTGATTTAAAATAGGCCAAAAGAAATGGAGCCAGAAAGAAAAAAAGTGCATGTATCAGGATTTTACAGTGAACAAACTCCCTTGAGAAGCTGAGATGTTGATGTATTATCTACCATATTAGTGAATACAGTTTGAAGATCTTAAAGCAGAAACGTGGGATTAGAAGACCGCTGCAGATAAAACATTTGCACACGAGATCTGAGCAACATCTAAGGCCTGAAAGAGTTTCATCATCTAGAAGTCTGTGGGATTTGTTTGATGAGAAACTGACTTTGCATAGAAAAACAAAACAGTACAAGCTGAAGCCCTCAGGATATTTTGAGAAGTTTGTTGCCCGACTTCAGTCCCGGCTGATAGGAGCTGGAAATCCACAGAGGTTGTTCATACTCAAACTGGCCTTAAGCTATGAAACAAAACTCCAAGGCCACACTTCCAGCAAATCTCAGGCTGCTAAAAAATTGAGATTTGTTTCTAAAATAGTAAAAGTTTGCAGAAAATTAAACAGCTGTCCAACACCTGCAAGAAGTGTTAACAAAGCTTTCTGATATTCTGATATGTCCTGCGCCAGAATGTGTAATAGACATTTAATGAACTTTCAGAGCTTTACAAGACGTTAACAGGTTGATAACAATATTCATGTGTTTCTTCAGTTTTTGGAAAAGTGACAGGATAATATTTGAAGGCATTTTTCATAACAATATGGCAAAGTAAAGAGCAGAAAATAGGCTGAATTAAAGGTCCAGTGTGTAGAATTTGGAGGATCTACTGGCACAAATGGAATATAATATGTTTAACATGTTTTCAATGATGTATAATCACCTTAACGTAGGAAGTGTTGGGTTTTCTTTACCTTAGACTGAGCTACATCATTTACACATGGTCCTTTAACACTGAAAACCGGTATTTTAAATTCTGATTCTGGTATTTCTGAATGAAGGACTGGGTTTAATGTTGAACACCTGCAGATACTGCGATCATTTTGACTATAAAATCTGAATAATGGGCAGATTTTAGTATGACCTGTAATACTAATATACTCCAGTATTTAGCTGGAATTAAGGTTTAAAGTGTAAATGATTTTCATTTCTACTGAGTTTAATTTGATCAAATGACCAAATCAGCTGGTTGGAGGAAATTAATCAAAACAACAAACAAAGTTTATATTGCAATGTAACACAATCAAAGTGTTTGAAGAGAATTAAAGCATGTGGCCTAATTTAACCGTATAAATGAAAATGTTTAAATCTCTTTTTGTGAACGTATAAAACTTATCCTGACTCAGCATTAATCAGAAACCTTTTTCCAACCTGAGGATGGCGCCAAACGCAGCATTCAGTGAAGGAGAAAGGAGAAGGAGAAGAAGAAGTGTGTCAATGGTAAACACATTGCGGGATGATTTCCCTCCTGAGTTGTCCTCGCTGCGCACTTGTCTTCACAATGCTCTCCTTTGTGCTGTCTCGGAGTTTGTGCCAGGTTGTTACGGAAGTGAACCGCAGGTCTTACCCGACCTTTGGCTCACTGTTTCGGGCTTTTACAACCTCAAGTCCTAAATGCGGAGAGACATCCGACAGCGGTAAAAATATATTTCCTGGTAATAGACAGCTCACCTTTACAGCCCTGTAATACTGCTACCTGTGCTGTGGCTTTATGGTGTCCTTTTAATCTGCTGGGTGTCGCAATAATCTTTATTATAGTGCTGAATTGTCGTTTTAAAGTGCTTAACATTATAATGATTTCACTTAGGCCTTATAGCCTTATTACTGTAGTCCTTTATAGTATTATAATAAGCCGCCTGCGCATTATGCTGTCAGATAGTGGTACTGTACTTAAACTCACTACTCACTTCTATTTGTTTGATAACTTTAGCTACTTTTTGAATTGAAATAACAATTAACCATTACTTAATTATATAGTTAGAAGCCCCCCTCCTTTACTAGCTGCAACTTTAAAGGTCCAGTGTGTAACATTTAGGAGGATCTATTAGCAGAAATGGTTTATAATGTGTTTAATGTCTTTTCATGAGTGTCACCTGAAAACATGAATTACAGTGTTTTTGAATGAGCTGTTTTTATCTACAGAGGGAGCGGGTCCTCTTCTACGGAGGCCACCATGTTGAACTGCCATGTTTCTACAGTAGCCCAGAAGGGACTAACTAAACACTTGCTCTAGATAGGGCCTTTCGGGGCGATGGGTTTGTAATCTGCCACTAAATCCTACACTCTGGACCTTTAAAATAGCAACAAGGAACTTAATTTTTCGTTGATTCTGGCGGCCCTTGTGGACAAAAGCAGTAATTTTTCCACCACCTGGAATATGACCGACTGACTGTGGCTGCAATAAAGAATATCCGTATAGAAATAGCAAATGTTCTCGCTGATGGTACTGTGTGCTGTAGCTCGTATAGAGACATTAGTGTCAAATTGCGACTGTTGTCGTAGGTTTAAGTGAAAGCTTTGAGTACTTCTTCCACCACTGCCGCCAGCATTGTCAAACTGATTAGACTGAAGAATGTGTATCCAGTGTTTTTCACAGGATTGTTCGAAACAGAGAGTTTGGTTGACTCTGGCATTTTTGCTTACAAATGGACAATAAAGGTCTGTCAGTTGGGAAAGCTCTAGTTTAACCTTCGCAGCAGAAAACAGCAACATTGACCAGCACTTAATTAACACAGGTTACTGTTAATTCAATGGATGGTGAGTTTATAGGCAGTGAAAGGATACTTGTTTAACTTAATGCGAAAGTGTTTGTAATCTTATATGTTTCCAACCTCAGCTTCAGTGGTGACCTACTCGCAGCTGAAGTCCATGCTGTCCAACCGCAACATTCAGCTGTTTGATGTGAGAAATCCCGACGAGTACCAGGCTGGACGCATTGCAGATGCCGTCAACATCCCACGTAAGTGTTAACACGTGTACAAAGTGGGGGGGAAAAAAGAGCTGTTTTCTTACGTGTTTTAACTTTCGTATTGTTTGTGTGTATGTGTGTGAATATCAGTGGGCAGCCTGGAGGAGTCTCTGAAGCTCTCCCCAGAGCAGTTTCAGCTGAAATTTGAAGTGAGGGCTCCTGGGAAAGATGACGAGAACATCGTGTTTCACTGCAAAAGTGGCAACAGGAGCTCCAAAGCGCTGGACATCGCTCATCAGCTGGGATTTAGCAGGTAAATGAGAACAGATACACACAAGGAGCACATTTATTATCCAGTATTCCAATTATTACGTGACCCATTACAAGTGAGCTGTCACAGTTATAAAATAAATGTGGCAATAGGCTGTAGTGGAGCTGTCCAACATGTGTTGTTATTTAATTATTAATCAGTCCCGGAGTACAACGTCCTCACATGCTGCTTTGGTTTGTTGAGCGTTTGATGACCTTTCAGTAGAAAGACAAACAACGGTGATAAGACACTAAGCTCTTCTGTTTTATGCTTCTTTTTCTCAGGGCGAGACATTATAAAGGAGGGTACAGTGAGTGGGCAGAGCATGAAGGAAAATGAATCCGGGCTGAATTCTGCACTTAAGTTGCATATCTTTATTAAAAATGGAGCCAATACTAACCTGCAGTATATAAACGAGAGATAACACATTTGTTAGAAACATTCAGTTACAGTTTTATATCATATTGACTGTTATTAAGTTACAGTTTAATTACAGTTGACTGTGACTTTACAGGTAAACACCACTTCTTTTGCCATGTTACATTTTTTTAGTTACTCAACCCTGTCATTAAGCTTTTGCATATGCTGTGTATCCTTTCTATTAAGACATATGATTTGTGAAAATATGATTATATGTGTTTGATGTTGATTAAATCTTTAAAGAATTGCAACATGGCTTTGTAAATCTTTTGTAGTGAGCATCTAAAATATCAACATATTTAACCAATTTTTCAGCTTATTATTTATTTTTAATTGCTAAAGATTAACTTGTCATTGCAACAAAAAGCTAAAACTACTACTAGTGATGGGTGAATGATTCTTTAGTGTCCAGTGTGTACCAGGTACTTGTGAATCTCTAACTCACACTGCCCACACCTACTCACTGTTATAACAGGGAACTGCTCAAGATGCCTCCTACGGTGGTGCAATCGCTCAAAACATAGAGGCGGGACAACCAATGAATGAGCAGGAATCATTGTCTCAAACAACGACATCAATGAGTGACTCAAGCCGAGTCCAGCATTCAGTCCAGAGTCTGGCAGCAACGCTCACTCACACTGAATGAGAACGAATCAGTCAGACTGGGAGTGGGACGTTTGCTACATGCTCAGGAAATATGACAAATCAGTGCAAATTTCTGTAACATTGTGTGTTGGGCTTACATTGCTTACCTACATACGTGGGATGCTGAATCAGTGCATTAAAATGAATGTATCTTTATTAGTTTAAACACATACATGATAACTAGGGCAGGCAGCACTGTCTCTCCAAAGTGCATTTACTGTAACAGAGTCATGGAGAAACTTACACCACAGTTTGTAAAATTGTATAAAAACTCTAAAGATTTGATCCATTCACACGAATCGACTCGAGGGACCTGATTATGTGAAAAGAATCGTTCCAGACATCATTAATACATACTGACGTTTTTGACACTTTTCCAGTATGAACACACTACAAACAGTGTTGGGACACAGTTGCTGTTTCCATTTCTATGCTACATACTAATACTATATGCTCTACTGTATATACTGTATGTAGTATATTGTGAACTTTATAGTAGAGCTGCAACAATTGGTCAATCAGCCAAAAATTAATGAGCAACTATTTTGATCGATTAATTGTTTTAGTCACTTTTCAAGCAAAAAAAAGCAGAACGTTCTCTGGTTTCAGCTTCTTCACTGGAACAATTTACTGTTTTTCTTTTCTGTCCTTTATGACAGTAACATAATTACATTTGGGTTTTGGACATTTGGTTGGGATAAAAAAAAACTTTCTCAAATCGAGAAAGTAATTGGCCGATTAATCAGTAATGAAATATATATTAATCTTTATTAACTTAACTACCTTAACAGGGAATAAAACTTGTACCATCAGACGTCAATAACACCACAACTTGAATGAAAAACAGAAATGCAACATTTTTACAGCAGCTGTGAGCACTCAGCAGCTCCCCGGAGAGTTTTTTAACATCCATAGACTGCTTGGAGTATGCTTCATTCAGTCAGTTTTCCAGTGTGAACATACTCATACGTACAGACTCAAAAGCTAACCTGGCTTTGGGACACAGATGGTGTGTTTCTGTGTTGGATAAAAGCAGTTCAATCTTTGGACCAGTAGATGGCAGCAAAATTTCAACCAACTCAGAAAGCATTTATTTCCATTTTCTCTTACCACTGTCCTTTATCACCATTGTAGCAATGCCCTCTCAGGCATGACCTTCACACTGGTATTGGTCTAGACAGGTATAGATCCCGTGAGTAACAGCTCTGAGAGCAGCTGCCAAGTGCCTGATCTGCACAAGGTCCATACATCCCTCATTCAGAGGGAAAGCAGAGCCCACTTCACCCTCCACCTTTCTATGCCGTCACTTTGGCTATTTGCAAAACATTAACAGTACAGCAGGCGTGTGTATGTGTGTGTATGGAGGAATCAATAAAAGGTTTCTGATGGCCCTCTACAAGTTTATACATCGGAGTTGATCCTCTCAGTGACCGTGAAAAGGGAGTTTGGAGGTGCCTCTATTCAAAAACTATTTTTGCATGTTTTGTAATCATAAATCACAAAGTCAGTGAGGAAATAGCAATTCCAGAAAAAAAATTACACACTTCAAGTAGCTGTCATTCATGTTAGAGAGACTGAGATTGATTTCCTGAATGTTGCATAATGTACATAAATGGACTGCGAGAGGAAATCTGGATTTATTGGCCATGTTGGAGAGGCCACCGTGCACTGTAATATGGTCCAAAGTCAAAATTCAGCATGTGTTATGGATGTCACACACCATTACTTGTGTCAAGTTTCAAATGTATGGATTTCTGCCAGCTACACGGTGTATTAGGATTCTCTTCAGCTCTGCGGTGCACAGGAGATATGTGCCAACGTGCTGCTGTGGAGGAGAAGGATGGGTCAAATTTCCAATGAGCACCAAGGACATTTCGACACTTTTACATTAGTTAAAACACAAACTGACTGCCGGTTGGTGGTGAAAAATGATCAGTTCGGGCTGTTTGTCAGCTGCTGCGGTCACATCAAACAGCCCATCAACATCCTGCTGCTCACTGATTTTTAAAACTGCACTTTATGGGAGGTTTGTAATGTGAGGCTGTGTCATCTGCTGTCATTTAGATATAAAAATAAATGGAAACCTGAGCTATGTGGTCTTCATTTGCCTCCCAACTGAGGATTAATGTAGTGATAAAAGAAGCCCCATTGTGTATTAAAATACAACAAAGTGCCACAGAAACATCAATTAAGTTCTCTCTAGCTTTTACAATAAAATTGGACTGTTTGCAACTTGGAACTGGTTCATAGAGGGAAAAAAACAACAGCTTCCTTTGGTACACTTCATATTGGCTTGGTCCAGATCTCATTTGTTTGGTGGCTACTCCTGCAGGGCTTATTAGGCTACTCTTATCTTAAAATGGCATGTAGAAGATAACAAAACAAAGCACATTGGCTGGGAATATAAGATATAAGACACAAGCTCTGGGTACTCTTTATCTGCACTGAGTTGTTTTTTTGTTTTTGTTTTTTGCATTTCTTTGTGCTATAGGGGTTAGAAAGGAACTCATAGGATGCCAGAGCCACAATAATGGGTATGGCTATACATTTTTCATGCACAGATCCAGACTGACCTAATTTACGCTCTGGATATCCTACTGGTCCTGTTTTATGAGGCCAACATTAGACTATTTTTATGCGAATGTCACTTCCAGCATAGCACGACCCAGACCGGTTCAGGGTCATGTTGGGGAATACAGCCATGGGACAAGATTCTAGCATATATGATCCTTTAAACTCAATATTTTGTAAAACATATTTTATTTCTGAAATTGAAACAGATTCTTTAAGGTTGTAAATAAGTGGTCACCTTCATTTGCCACTCGCTGCATCACTAAACGCGCAAAGGGAGACACCTGACGTCTGCAGCTACGCACGAACGCGCGCCGCCGGTGTGGCTGCAAAATCCAAGTGTGAAAGAAAAAAAAAAAAAAAAGCTCAACGCGTGTTACCTGCCGTCACTGAGCCGCGGAGCTCTGGGTGAAGTAAGTGATTGCGCCGCGGGTTCATCAGTGAGAGCTTCACACATTCACAGTCGCCTGCGCGCAATGGCACCGAGCGCTCCTCCCGCTCTCCTTGCAGAGCTGGACGCGATGACCGGATAACTTTTAACTCTGCACGGATGATGCTTTCCCTCGATGGCATCTGATGAATTCTTCACTGGGAAACAGTAACAGGCAAGTCTGCTTAATTGGTGAAAAAATAAAAATATTAAATATTAAAAATATATTTATTATTATATTTAATATTTAAATATTAAATGACATACTGAAGCATCTTTAAACTCCCCTTTTAAATGTTGTTTTGTTGTTTCTCCTGCTGTGTTTGTGTCTTAAATTACATTCTTGTCTGCTGCTTTGTTTGCTAATTGTTTCATTCAGCATGTGCTCTGATATGGTACCATATGGGGAAGCTCGTTTTTTGCGTAATTATTCCTATCAGTGGACTATATTTGACCCCAATCTTTCCGCAAGCGTGATTGCGAAGCGCGATATCGTGGGCTTTAATTGAATATTACTACTCGCGCAAATTAACATTCCCTGGCAGATGTAATGAATTTTAGGATAAAAAAACAAATCAGTTACTGTCAGTTAGCTCGTCTTTGCCTGCATGACCCCTAGTTAGGTGATTTATTTCTAATCTTCTGATAATGTAACTAAGTTGTCTTTAGGCTTTACAGTTAAATATAGAAACACCCACTCCTTCCATTACATCCTTCCTAGTGGCTTTAAAGGCTTTACAAAGGCAGCACACACTATGTATATATATATATATATATGTGTGTGTGTGTGTGTATGTGTGTGTGTACTGAATATGAGCTTGTGCATGTTTGCGCCTGCATTTGAGGGTCTAATAATGCCCTTTTCACGCACTCTTGTAGGAGGTCAGAGTCCAGGCACTCTGACATTAAGTGAACAGGATCAGGTGGTGATTAATATGAGAGGGAGGTCCAGCAAACAAAAGAGTGAAGAGGGAAATCTGTTTCAATTAGCACTTGATCTACAAGTACAAGCAAACCATGCTGCTGGAGCACTATGCAACCTTGTTTCACATAAACAGTGGGACTGGGATTAAAAATGCAGGTGTGTTGGTGTGCATAGATGTGATTTTATTCCTCATGACCTGTCACACCTGATTCTGTGATGAACTCAGTGCTGCACTTCCATTAGGAGACTTCAAGGTGATTGGTATCGGTGGCTGTGTTTTTTCTTCTTCGCTTCTTCAGATTCTCTTGTGGACAATCATATGATACTGGAGCCATTGAGAAACTGAGTGGAATTATAGACTGAGGAAATCTTTAAAAGCCTCCTGGGTTTGAGCCAGGTCTAAAAATGGTCCCATTTTCTCTGCGTCTTTCTTCCTATTTTTCTGTCACAGAAAGAGAAGTGGGAGCTGGATAAGATGGATCAGTTTGTTTTAACATCTATAAGCACAGGTGTGAGCATCACCACGGCACTGTTATTTGGACTCTGGCCAGAGAGGGAGGATTGGAAATAAATGAGAGGATGGATGGAGTGCAAGGAGCAGAGACTGGGACCAGAGCCAACCGGACCACTCAGGGTGGCTGCACTGACTTATTACTCCTCCCTGATGAGCTAACCTCACT